TATGCTGTGCTCAGCTGTGTGCTGTGAGTGTGTGCGATGTTTTCCATATGAATTAATTTTATGCACCTACATGTACATTTGTGCGTGCACTTGTGTGAGTGTGTGTGGGTGCGTATCTTTGCCGCGGTTTGAAGCCGATTTACAATAGCGCTGACAAATTGCGACAAAATAATCATATCAAAAAAAAATTGGATTGCATCAATTTGTGCATAAAAAGTTTAAATGAGTCTTTTTTCTACAGAAACGCTTTCATTGCATAAAAGCTTCCGCTAATCCACTTACTAAAAATAACACAGCTAATTAGCTGTTATTACTGACGTCGTTCAGTGCTTTCCAGCGAAATGTGACACACGCATGCCATGCGTAGGAGCTTGAATAGAATTCAGTGAGATTAAAAAAAAAAGAAACTACCTGTAAGCTGTGCTATTCATAGTTTCTCTTTCAGCATGTTGTTAAGAAGATAATCAGCTCAGCAAATGGCTTTTTTTCCAAGAAACACCCTAAATATCAATAATTCCTGCTGACGCAGCCAATTCACCACTGGGTAGCTTATTTCTTACCGTTCCCATTCTTTTTCTGTCTCTCTCTCTCTCTCCCTAACTCTTTTTGCTGTTGCTGTGTGCGCTGCGCAAAAACTACATTGCGCTCTCTGACGCACTCTTCGTTGCGACTGACGCGTCGGTCGTGGCGACCGTCATACTTGCTTAGTGCTTGTTTGTGTGTCTGTTAGCGCACAGTGGGCTCATTTAAGTGATGAAATTTATAAAATGCTTCATTCAAAATAAAGAAAATTTCGAAATAATTAATTACATTTTATTTACATATCTATGCAATCAATATGCTTCTTCTATACAGCAAAATAAATATATTATATTAAATTATATTCAATATTGAATTACATTAAAAGGAGAAGCGTGTGTTAACCACTGTGCGTCGCAGCCGGAGCCTCGTTACGTTTTGCCGCTGGCAGCGCAGCAGCGGCAGCAGCAGCACAGTGCTTTGTTATGCTGCCTGAACAAAATCAACGTTGCCAAACTTCATTTTGCTTTTGCGCTATGTTCATGTTCACGTTTGGTTGACTGGCAATGTATGTACGTATGTATGTATGCATATGTTTGTGTGTCGCGTGTGTGCTTGTGTGCGTGTGTTTTATATCAGAAATTTCCATTTAATTTTTTATTTAGGTTTCTTTTTCGTTTTGCGACGTTGTTGTTGCTCTTTGTGTATATGTGCATACATACGTGTGCGTTGATATATAATTTGTATACAAATGCACACACAAACAGACACATACAACATACATACATACATGCAAACACACATGCACGCACACACACATATATATGTATGTTTCTATGTAGCTTTTGCTTTTGTGTGATTATATTTTGGTTACACTTTCAGCTGCCGATTTGATTCCATGATTTTCGGGCAGCGCATACGTCACACATGTGCGTGGCTCAATACGGGGCGTGTGTGGGGTAAAGGGCGAGAGAGCTGCTCAACCCCCTTTGGGGGCGCTGCATAGGCCTGCAAATTGCCAGCAAATCTGTGCGAGGGTTGTTTTGGTTGCTGTTGTCGATTTTATTATTGCTTTTGCTCTTTCTCCTGCTCTCTGTGTGCGTGTGCATGTGCATGTGCGTGTGCGTGTGCGTATGTGTTGGGTCGCATTTGCAGCCACAGGTGTCGTTGATGTCGGCCTCGTTGGGTTTCGCCATACGTCAAGTTCAGCTCTCCCAAAAACTTCACACCTTTGTGCAAATTATTTTGTCGTCAATATGACAAAAAGTTAACCTCAAAATGCTGCTGCGCCGCCTGTTGAGCGTGACTCAGTCGCGGGCAGCGACGGCGACGGCGACGTCGACGTCAACGTCCACGACAGCAGGCTGACAACATTTTTATTTAAACAAATGCAACAACTGAGCTTAATGAAAAAGTTATGTGAGTAGAAGCTTTCGTTTTTTATTTTTAGTCAGCATACATATGTACATACATACATACATACATACATACATACATTTGTATGTGCGTGTGTGTATAAATGCATGTATGTGTGTGCATATGAATGTATGTGTGTGTGCTCTCAAACAAACTTTGCTCCCTACACTTGACCTTGTTTTGCCATTTTCGTTTTGTGCCATGCACCACACACACACACACACACACACACAATCACTGAGAGAGAGAGACACGCACGCTTACAGATGGGCTGGCTGATTGTGGTTGATTGTGGCCTAGGAAGCAGAGGCGGGGCAGCATCGGCAACTTTGTATGACAAAGCAAAAGCCAAGACCACGCTGAGCCAACGCAGTAATTTGCCTAAAATTGTGCGCCGGCTTAAATGCCGGCTACAACAAATACATACATGCAAGCAAAAGCAAAAAGCGAAAGAAAAAAAAACAACAAGAAACACAAAGCAAACAACAACAACGACAACGACAACAACAACAACGACGATAACGACGACGCAAAAAGAATCATTTCAGTGAAGGGCGAAGACGTGGAAAGACGCAGACGCAGACAACGGCTATAAAAATGCAGAGCAAGGCGAAATGAACACAGGAAGGACAGGGCAACAAAGTTATTTTAATGACCTGCTGTTGTGTTGTTGTGGGCGGGGGGTATGGTACAGGGCGGTGGAGAGGGGGGGGGGGGGGGCGCTGGGCAGGGCACAAAGTCGAACGGCGACGGGCAAAGCCGCAACAGTAAAAATGGCAAGCAAAGGGAAATTAAAGACCATGACAACAACAACAACAGCGGCAGCAGAGGCAGCAGCAGAGGCAGCGGCAGCGGCAGCGTATGGCGAAAAAGTCAAAAAGAGAATTGCTAATGCCAAACAACAACAAACACGGGCTGGCAAAGAAAGACATAAAACTTTTATTTATACATTTGCACACACACACACACAGGCACATGTCTACATGTGTGTGCTTTGTGCGAGCCAAAGAATAAGGAAAGTGGCCAAATAACAATAAGAAGAAGTAGAAGAAGAAGAAATAAAATAAAAAGCAAAGGCAACAAACAAAAGAATAGCAGCGAAAGAGGAATGCACAGAACATATATAGCTGTAAGATAGCGGGCGGGATGGCAAAGTGCAACAGACTATGCCCTGCATTCGCAAGCCTATCGATAACATTATCGATAAGTGCAACAGCTTTTCAATGGAGCAAATGGAATGGCAAGAAATTCTTCAGATATGTACACACATGTACACACATGTACATATGTATGCATGTATATACATGTGTGTATAACATATTGCTTTTATGCATGGACCAAAGAGCCAGGTGCAGCATTTACTGCTGCCTATCGATAACTTTATCGATAATTGAAAATTGAGTATGATCAAGATTTTGAATGAACCAAGAATGTTACGAATGCATTCACACACATATATATGTATATTATATATACATGCATATGCATATGTATATATATCTATGCACAAGCAGATATTTTTATAGGGTATATGGCGAATTTATATGAATTTGCAGCTTTTTATAGCGAATAGCTTTGTCTCTGGCCTTTTATCGATATCTACAGTTATTAATGTGGTCAGAGCCTAGCAGCTGGATGATAATGATAACATGTAAATGTGTATACCCTACTCTGGTGTCTGTTCATTTCCGTAGTGCACATACATATGTATGTACATATGTAGGCCTATTAATCTATGAAGATAATATGCCTGTCGACATGCATATTATAAAATGCTTGGGCTATATTAGGAATATGTACACACATACACACACATGTATAGATGTTGGCGGGATTTGGGGAGTGGGTAATTACTAGCGGAACACTCCTTATTACGCCCATCTCGTTGTCTTTGGCAGCCTAGAAAATTCGATGGCAACTTGGTAATGCGTTAGGTCAACACAGTGGGCACTCCTTCGGATTGCCAGCGAGTGAAACCTGTAAAGAAAAGAAAAGAAAAACAAAGCTACTTCTGCTTCTTCCACCTCTTCTACCTCTTCTACCTCTTTCTCGTGTTAGCTAAGACAGACAGATGGTTTTAAATGCAGCGTGTTGTCTAGCGGAGTGTAAGGCTTAAGCTCGGGCTGACTCAGATTCAGATGACTATCCCAATTGCAAGGCAGCTGCCCTATACACAGGCAAGCACACAAACACACACACACAAACATATACATGCAATCACACGCACGCACGCACACACACACACACACACTTGCCTGCCTGGAGTTGAGAGAGTCTCGCCATAACGGACCCCAACGGCAATGGCAGCAAATTAAAGTTACTAAAGCAAAGTAACAAAAGAAGCACAAAGCGAAAAATAAAATAAGTAATACACGAAAAAAAAACAAAAAAAAAAAAGAGACAAGCAAAACGAGCGAAATTTCTTGCACAGCGTGGAAGCAGAGCCGCTGCGGCGCACTGAGACTGTGCCAATGCACAGCGACATGGAAAAAGAACAACAACAACAACAACAACAGCAACAAGAATAACAAGAAGAATGGCTTAGTCGGTGGTTGTTGTTGGCTTTGGCCATGCCGCTGCGCAGGGGCAGGGGCAGGGGCAGTAGTTGGCACAAGTGCGACAGAGAGAAGAGAGCATGGCAGAGCAGCGTCGCTGCCTGCTCACAAAACTAAAATGATTGAAAACCGGTTCGCGGACTATACGGTTCTTTTTTGTTTTGTTCTCTTTTCAAAACTCAGGCTGCAGCCAGGCGACAAAAATGTCGCATGCGATATCCGCTGTGCAAAATGTGTGAAAATGAACTTGCATGTATTCTCCTTGGGTACATTGTACATTCTGCTTGGATACATACTCCTTGGCTCATTCCTTGCCCCAATCCAAGGATTAATGCAAAGTGGAGCTAAAGTTTTATTTATTCACATTTTCCCCTTCATTAAGGCATACACCTTTAAAAAGAGAGGCAATAATCAAATAGATTCTGCAAATATAAGGCAATGCTATAAGTAAAACATATTTGACTAAGCAAATTGTTTTATTCAGTTTATTTATGTATATATTTGTAAATACAACTTAATCCCACTTCAAAGTATCGCTAAAAGTTAAATGGTATTTATTTACACGCTGTTGTGTTTTAAACATTTTAAGTCATATTAAATGATAAGACTTTATCATTTACAAACAGGTATATCACAGAACTTTTAGTGATGTCAGTTTCGGGCTTCAAATTAATTTTCGATTTGTCTCAAAACAAATAAAACTATAAACACATAAATCTGGGAATTTCGAGAGTGTAACGAACTTAACAAGTTCATGATTTAAAATAAAATGCTCGCGTTTATTTTGCGATAATTACGAACTGTAATTATATACACGGGTCAGGTCTGAAGTTGGCATAAAACATATTTATATACTTTTTTTTTGGCTTATAACCAACTTATATTCAATTTGATACCTTAAAATAAATATGAACTTAATATGGGTACATATGTCTAGATACATATGTACATTGTTTGTACACAAGTTTGGAACATTTGCGACATTCTTGTCGCCTGCGCATCGACGACCAATTGCTTTTCCTTTTATTCTGTTGTCGCCGCCGCTCTAATTGGCGCTTTATGCCTAAAGCCGGTGTCACACGACCCCGCTTACCCCCCTCAGTCCAACTCTATTTGCCATCGTGCTGGGCATAGAGATCGGCTACACTGCCGCTGGGCAGGAAACGGGCATCCAGCGAGAGGCGATTCATGCGGCCGTAGACCAACACCTCGCTGATGATGCGCTCGGCGAAGAGCCGCTGATCGGGCCGCATGTTGCGGAAATGGGCTGCCATTCGCTTGCCAATCAAATCGCATTCGCTCTCCACATGCTCCATGCTGCACTCCAGCATCTGGCGGCGCTTTTTGCCAGACGCTGCGCTGCTTTCATCATAGTCGCCGTCGGCGTCGCCGTCGCTGCTACGCTGGCGTCGACGCATTTGCTGCGCTGCAATGCTGCGACGCGGCTGCTGCTGCTGCTGCTGCAGTTGCTGACGCGCTGTCCCGTAAGGATGTTTTCCGTTGCCGACGCCGACGCCAGCAGCGCTGCTGCTGTTGTTGTTGTTGTTGTTGCTGTTTTTGCCGCTGCTGCTATTGGAATGTTGTTGATATTTGATTTCCATTTTTAGATCAGATTTGTGCCGTGCCTCGGCCAACGCTTCATGCTCCACGTCCGTGTCCAGTGCGACCTCCGCGTCCGCTATGCCCTCGGCATCGCCGTCGGCCTCGGCCTCGCCCTCACCCTCACCCTCGCCCTCGCCCTCGCCCTCGATGACTAGCATGTCCTCCTCGGGCGGGAAGGGCTCCGCGAAAATGTCCTCGTCCTGCAAATATTCATTTCATGTCAGCAGTTAGTCGACTAGCTGATACCCTGTATTTCTTATTTTTGATATACGTATATTAGTTTAGATATATAGCTGATGTATGTATTATATTATTGTTGCTATTGGTCGACTAGCAGATACCCTGTAGCACATGTTAGAGCGGCATAAGCGTTTAAATTTTAGGTGTACGCATTGCAGATTCTTTTACAGGGTATGGTTAGATGAGTTTGAGAAAACACTTGCGAAAAAAAGAGTGGAACGACAAGCTTAAAATAGATGTAATTGCAGGGTATATGCAATGTGTGCCCTGTAGTCGCTGCGCTAACTAAACGATAAACTGTTTCATGAGAGTTGATTCAACTGCTAAATACCCTGTATTTTTTTTTTTTTTAACTACTCACTGGTTCAACCTCAACCACATTCTCATTGTAGGTCAACTCGACGCGTTGCTTTAGATATTGCGGCTCGTGTTCAGTTTCATTTTCGGTGTGTTGTTCATGTTTGGATTCTGGTTCCGGCTCCGGTTCCGGTTCCGCATCGATCAGTGTCTGCGCCTCGCCAGTCTCCTGATCGTAGAGAAACTCCAGCTCATTGAAATACCAAAGCGATGGCACGTACTCCTCGCCAGCGAATTGGCCGTGCATCGAGGACTTACTCTCGAGCACCTTGCGCAACTCGCGCCGGTAGGAGGTGCGCAGATTGTTGATCTTGCGCTTGACCATATGGATATTGGCCGTGGGATCGGTGGTGAGCATGTGCGCCAGCAGTCGGTCGTATGAGCGCGCCTTTAGCTTTCGATTGCGATAATCTTTCGAGTTGGTCAGCCAGAGTTCCGGCATGGAGCGATAGAGACGAAAGAAATCTTTCCAGAAATCCGTATTGCGCACATGATGCGAGTCCATCGCGAGCAATTACAGTACTGTCGTCCAACGCGGTCGTACGACGCGACAAGTATCAAGCATACGTCGTCGTCGTCCAACCCATACAACATCCAACCAAACACACACACAAGCAGCCAACCCCCTGGCACGCTCGCTTTTCTCTTCTCTCTCTCTCTTACGCTCTCTGACACTCTCTCGCGCTCTCTTCACGCTGTCATACTTACATGCATGCTCGCCTCGTCGAGACTGTCGTCCAAGCTTTGGGTCTCGTGTTTGATGTACGGCATCGCTGGCACATTTAAATTGAGCACCGGCTTGAGAAAGTCCATCATATGGAACCACCAGAGACGCGGCTCGTAGCCATCGTATGACGATTGTATCTTCCTGATCTCGCGCCTGTAGCAACAGCGCAGCGAATTGATCTTGCGCTTAACATCCTGTACGCTGGCCTCGCGATTGACGCGTCTCAGGATTTTCAATAGCTCCTGATAGCCGGGCGCCTTCTTCTTCTTTGATAGATAATCTATCGAGGCGTTGTCCCATAGCGCCGTAAAATGGCGATAACAGCTAATGAACTCCTCCATAACCTCCTTTTCATCATACAAATTGGGCGGCGTCATCTGTGCGGTGCAGTGGCTTCTCACGAACTGAAAACTGAATGATTGCGACTGAAAGAGAGTGTCATGCAAATACAACGTGTATGAACGACATGGCGAACTGTTGGTGCTTGCTGTTGTTGTTGTTGTTGTTGCTGTTGCCGTGCGTTGTATACTGCTGCTTCTTCTTCATCTTCATTTTCTATAACATTATCTTTATTATCATTTCTGCTGTTGCCTCTTAAAGCGGGCAACGGCAACATCGCCGTCGTCGTCGTCGTCGTCGTCGTCGTCATTGCGTCTCTGCTGCTTCTTGCTATTGCCTTTTGTTGTTTGCTTTTACCATTTGCCTTTTATTTATTTATGTTATAAACAGCAACGTTCGCGCTGCCGTTGTTGCCGTCGGCGTCGACGTCAGCGTCAGCATTACCGCAGTCGCACAAGTGTATGGGGCGCTGGCGCGCAACGTTGCCGCACTTCACAGGTTCGAACATGTGCCCGTTGTGTGAAAACTGGCAACGTTGCGGCGTTTAGAAATGTTGCATGACAGCAATGAGGCCACCGCCGGCCGGCCGTGTGTGTTGCACAAAAGTCAACAGCAGCAGCAGCAGCAACAACAATGATAGTAGCAGCAGCAGCGGCGGCCGCCTAATAATAACAACAAAAGCAACAACAAAACAATATTAATAGACACGAAAGATTAGCGCGCGCACAGAAACAAGCAGGCCAGCAATACACATGCATACATACATACACGCATACATGCATACATGCATATATTTGCAAACGGTTAGTTGAATCGAGCATCCAACGTGCATGCTGCAGCCGGGCTGCAGGTTGTGGGCTGCGCTGCGGCAGCGCTGCGCTGTTGTCGATTTGCTTCAGTTGTGTTTGTGTTTCACTTTCACTGCAAAATTGGCGAAAGAGAAGAAGAAGAAGAAATCAAAGAGGAAAAAACAAAAGATTTGTCAGTCAGCGTCAGTCAAAGTTGTATGCAACAAACGCAACAACATTATCAACAGTAGCGGCCGCACATTGTGCGCAGCATTTTTAATCATACAAAAACACACACGTTTTTACATATTGCAAATTTCAATAATACCAATCTAGTAAAGGCTTTCATTTCTAATAAAATCGTTTGTTAAATTACATGCCATGCAAATTAACATTTAAGCAATTATACAATTTCTTTAAATTTGAAAGCTTTGCCTGAATTTTGATAGAAAACAGCTATGCCTAATATTCGGGCGCGTCAGTGTTGCGAGCGAACGTGTTCTGTTGGATGTTGGCTTGCGGGCGCTTTGCCATGCTGTTCACCGCACCAGGCGCAAAACAAGCGGGCTGTCAAACTGTTTGAGTTTGATGTTGTTTGCGTCGCGTTACGTTCGCCTTCGGTGTCGAGCCACAGAGCCAAGCTCCGGTACAACATCAGCAGCAGCAGCAGCGTCGCCGTCGTCGTCGTCGTTGTAGATGTTGTAGATGTGTTGTTCAACTCCTAAAAACTCGGGTGTGTGCAGCGCGTGCAGATCATGTGAAAATTTCACGACGTTTGCAGATACGTTGCGAATTTATTTATAACAAATTCACGAAAAAAATTATGAAAATCGTCGCTCTAAAACAAAACCAACAACAAGGTAAATGTGCAACGCAGTAAAAATTGCCAACAACTACGGAAAGAAAAAATAAACGAAACCAAGAGCCGCCCCTACGAAAAAAAAAATGAAAAAAAAAATCAAATAAAATAATAATAAAATAAAGTAAAATAAAAGAAGAGAAAAATAATGTAAAAAGTTGTGCCGCTGTGTCGCCTACATGTAACTGTATTGTACATATACTTATACGGGTGTATATATATATAATACATATATATGTGTGTGTGTGTATATACATATCTATATATAATATATATGCTTTTATAGATGTATGTGTGTGTATTTTTATAGCTGTGCTTGCCACTGCATATATATATATATATTATATATATATTTATATATATATTTATATATATATATGTGTGTGTGTGTGTGTGTGTGTGTGTGTGTGTATAGGCAAAATGGATAAGAAAAAAACACATTGGAAAATTGCGTCGCGTTTTACTGCAGACCAGCACAACTGCCCCACGCTACGTTGTTGTTGCTTATGTGTGTTATATGTATACATATATATATATATGTATATGTATATGTATGTATATGCATGCATGTACATATATGCATATATAATTTTTTTTTCTTTTCTTTTGTTGCCCAAATGCAATGCTGATCTATGCGCGAATATTAAAGTGAAAAGAGGCGCAAATAAAAACGCAGCGCAAATTGTTGGAATTTTTTATCTCTGTGTGTGTGTGTGTGTCTGTGCCTGTGTCTTGTACGCGCGCTCTCTCGCTCTCACTCCCTCTCTTGCGCACTGCCTGTGTTCTTTTTTGTGCGTTTGTGTGTGTCCCTCTCCGTTTCTGCTGCTGCTGCTGCTGACGTCGTCGTCTGCGTTCCAATTCTAATTTTTTTCAATTTTTTCCTTTGCTTTTGTGTGCGTGCGTGTGTGTGTGTGTGCTTTTTTAAAGTGGCATAGATTGTTGTTTTTTTTTTTCAATTCTCTTTCTTTTTCTTTTTTTTTTATATAATAAATTGAAAATGTTTTTTATGCACAGCTGGGCCAGTTTAGCAGCCTGTGCGTGTGTGTGTGTGTGTGTGTAAAAGAAATATTTAAATGTGGCATAAAAAGCGCTAAAGGCGAGCCAAGCCCCACACACACACACGCACACACACACACAAATGCATTGCCCATGTGTGCAATTTGCTTAAAACTTTTTTGCGGCACCGCCCTGCGCCAAAAAGCCAAAGTTTTTGGCCACCAGGCCCCACGCCCCCCGCCCCAGCCTGCCTTCCTTATATACAAGACACACGCACACGCACGCATGCACACACTTATATACATATGTGCATATACAGCTCACACACACACGCACGCACGCACGCACACATGCTTATATCATACGTGTATGCATAATTCAATGTTTTTTTTACATATTTTTTTGGCTTGACGAAATCAATTGCTGAGCATAAAGAAAAATCAATAAAAATCATAATAATAATAAAATATATATATATATAAATAAAAGAATAAGAGTTAACCGTTGCGATGCCTCGTTTTTTCGTGTTGTTTTTTTTTTTTTGTGTGCGTTTTGCCTGAAAAATTTGTCCAAGAATCGTTTTTGAGTTAACAAATGCAAATTCGAAATCAAATTAAAAACCCGTCGAAAATCGAATTCAAAAATGATCAAGAGGAAGCAGAAGCAGTAGAGGAAGACAAAGCAGCGGTACAGTAAGAAGAAGATAACGAAGAGCAAGATGATGATGATGAAGAAGAAGCAGCACAACAGCAGTTAAATATAAACCTGAAACGCGCGTTGAAAATTGTTGTTGTTCTTTTTTTTTCTTGTTGTTCTTTTTTTTTTTTACATAAATCCATTTACACACATACATGCACACATGTATGCACACATATATATATGTATATGTATATGTATATGCAAATGGAAATGCCGTAAATATTTGCATTTGTAAACCCAGCTGGCACACCGAACGCCTTTTGGATTCGTAAACCCAACAACATTTTGTCATGGTAAGTTAACCAGAATGTGTTTTACATCTAGTATATATCTTAGTGTATTAATATATGTATCTGAATGGGCATAGAAGATTACGCAATGGGTTTGAACCTTAAAGGAGAGCCAGTTATTGTATGTGAGCTGGAAAGGCCCATTGACAATATTTGGCTCTACGTATTATACATATGTATATTCGAACATCCAAGTTCTGTACAACTTCTAGGGCAATTGGTAGCTACCGGGATCTGCCTATATATATAGGATATATATGTAGAACAGTGGGAAATGTTTGCAATGGTTTAAACTATACCAAAGTCCCCAAAGTATTACTATATTATATATAATATAGCATATATAGACAGATTAATATACTATATTATATATATTCTATATAGCATTGGGTTTAAGTTTAATATGAACTTTTTCAAACATTTACCAAGTCTTAAAAGTCTCTAGAGTGAAATATATATACGCACGATATATATGTATGATATTCCTTTTAATATTTGAGGTATTTCTATAAACTGAACAATTTGAAATTGGATACAAAATGGGAGTATTAGGATTTTGGGCAAATGTCAGTTAGACATCAGCATATCTGTTCCTTAAAAGTGTATATATATGCATATATATATATATATTATTAATCAGATCTACGCTCGGATTCTGTCTTGTGAGGTTTGAACTTTAAACATTGAAGACATATTTATACGCAAGTCTCTGTACTTTTCAAGGTGTGTGGCTAGGAGGGGGAAGAAGAAGAAATACAGTTGCTGGTTCAAATCTTTATATGCTTGTGCAGTCGCTGGTTCAAATCTTCATTTGCATGTGCAGTCACTGGTTCAAATTTTCGCAAGCTTGCATATTCGCTGGTTCGAACTTTGGAATGCTTGAAAAGGTTCGAACTTTCGAGCTCTGCAGTCGCTGGCTCAAGTTTCCGACTACTTGTACACTTGCTGGTTCAAACTTCCGCCTGCTTGTACAGTAGCTGGTTCAAACTTCCGCCTGCTCGTGCAGTAGCTGGTTCAAACTCCCAAGTGCTTGTAGCTGGTTCAAACTCCCAAGTGCTTGTATAGTCGCTGGTTCAAGCTTTCGCCTGCTCGTACAGTAGCTAGTTCAAACGCCCAAGTGCTTGTTCAGTCGCTGGTTCAAACTCCCAAATGCTTGTATACTCGCTGGTTCAAACTTCCGCCTGCTTGTACAGTCGCTGGTTCAAACTCCCAAGTGCTTGTAACGGCATTTCAGCGCTAGGATCTGGTTAACTTTTAGTCGGGCATTTTCAAAAGGGAAATCTCGCTTTAAACACTTCTTTAAACTTGTTGCAAAATGGTGGATGGATGGGTGGGTGGGGTGTAGGGGGGTAGGGGCGGGGAAGGGATGAGTGATAAGAAGAAGAAATTGCAATACGCTGGAAAATTGGTGTCCCTGCTTGGGATATCGGATATACGTGCAAAATACATAATTGAATTGTGATTGACGTCAGCAACACGTAACCCTCGACTCGACTCGACTCGACTCGACTCGACTCGGGGTTTAATATTACAGTTATTAATTAGTCGAGATATCGATATTGGGAGAATATAGAGCGAGTGCATTTTCTTTTATAATTGTTAATTTTCTTGGAAACTC